TGACATAAGAGCACCTCAACTACTTAACAGTGAAATGTAAGCGGCCTTTTACAGTGACACAATCAGCGTAAGACGCTTATCAAATGTGTGAGATCTCCCCTGTGACCAGAAAGCAGTGCACGCATCATGAACTGAGCATCCCCTTGCTTTATGCAAAAGACATGACCTGTAAATCAAACTCTCCTGCAACACTGTGTATTCAGGAATAATCCATTGACTTGATTCTGTGATCACAGGGAATTAATGTTAAAAAAAAAAACCACCAAAAAACCAAAAACCAACAACCCACAACTAACCAAACACAGTATGCACAGGAAAACACGCATTTCTGAGAACAGAGATGCCAAGATAAGAAGGCTGAAAGAGATATATTACTAAATTTAGAATTACTTACTCTTTCTTACACTGATTCTATATTCCACCCTAGTTATACTTCCCTAACTGACCAGTAACTGTGTGCCTTCCTTTCCAATACAGTATTTTTCTTGCTAGTAGAAAAGTATGCTATAGCCTGTGCTCTAGAAATTCTGATTCTTTAAAAGAGATCATCTACACTATAAACTTGGGCTGCAGATTGTAACAAGAAGCACCTTATCAAAGTGTTTACTATTCCTTGATCAAACAGTACATTCAGTTATAAATTCTGAAATATAGATCAGAGAGGGTACTACTTACACACACAAAAAATTCCTACTTTTAATCTGTTAGTAAAGGAATAATCAGTAATTCATAACCTGGTTAGAAACATGTATGGCATATATGATAAATTTCTGTGGGTACACTCAGTGGGTTCTGCTGTCAGCTGTAAGTAAGCTCTTTATAAATCACCTTGGCCTTTTAAGGCACCAAACAAACGTTAGATTAATTTATTGTAAGCTGTATTATAAAGCACAGCACTGTAAATACTTAAAACAGATTTGCACATACTTTAAAATAACTGTATAGTAATCTGTTACATGAATTATACTCATATAATAGAAGCTGAAATAGTTTAATAGAAACCCAATCCCGAAGATACACAGCCTAAACAAGTCTTCACACACTAGTTAGAAATTTACTTAATAACAATCAAAGACACAGTAGGAATAAGGGGTAAGAAGTGTGGGCTGGTTGAACTTGTTATGTGTGTGTATATGTGTACATAGGTGTGCAAGTGTATGTATTTTTACTATAAAACAACTCCCTAACTTAAACTGAAGAAGCTTATTTGAAATAATTAGATCTGTTTCCAACTCTTAACACAAACTTTGTTTGTCATCTCGTGCTAGGACCCTTATTTTTTTATATAGGTAGTAAATAAATCAAGTATCTTATATGTAATAATTACAGCTGAAGAAATTTCTTTTTTTTTTCCTGGTATAATTTTCCTATTTCATGTTATTTCATAAAGCACAGTACTTTCTTTTACCTTTGCAATTCCAAACTCACAATACCTGATCCAATCCTAGCTTAGTTAAGTAGATGGCACTTTTTTGACATGCTTCATCTTCACAGACTGGTAATAAATGTTCACTTTGTCCATCCCCATCTGTCAAAGAGAAAAAAAGACCGTCAGCTTTGTAATTGCAAAATCAAGAAACCTTGTTTGCAAGAGATGATCAGGTGTGAATTGTATTTTTTTTAAAATGTGAAAAATTCACGAGATAAACTAGACCTTTTCAACCCAATAATCTAATTTGGCTCCTTTGTTTGAAGATTGTTGATGTATTTTCATCTTGACCTGTAGAGAAAGTTTTAAATTTTATTTTTCATGATAACATGATATATTTAGAAGAGCAAGTGCTTAGTAATTTACTTGATCCCTGTGTTTAGTTGGGAAGAAAAATACCTTTAATATAAGCCTACCATCACAAATCTACCACACAAATTTATTTAACTTTCTGAACTAGTTTTAAACTCCTATGCTGTCAGCAAGACTTTAAGAAGAGTCACAAGTTCACATGTAGTATGTTAATCTATAACATAAAACAAAAAGCAACACTGGAAAGTTGACTAATGCAATGGCTAACAAACTCCAGGTTTACAGAAATAGGCCAATCTGAGTGATCTACATGTTTTCAGAAATGCTCCTCAAGCACCTCTAATCCATGTAAAACTTTAGGTTAACAATGATGTTTTAAAGCAGCGATATCTATTTGCACATAGAATTCTGACACACACAGCATATAAGGGAAAAAAACTAAAATAATTTACTGCTCATTATCCACTCCAGGAAAGACGCCTATGGTCACGACCTGACCTTGCAGCCCTGCCTAGCATGTTCAGAAATACACTGCCCTCTGACTACGAGATATACCACCACGAGTTACCTCGTATGGGCTGAGAAGACCAGAGAAGTAACTGAATGCAAGCAGCCAAAAGGCAGCAGCTAGAATTGCTGCATTAATGCCCACTGGTGCAGGTCCTGATGGTAACCAGATGTGACTTGCTAGAGAGGTGGTATGCCCCAAACCAGGGAAATCTCAGGGAATCTGCTTTTCCAGGCTATGAATCAAAGCTCATAGTGTAAGAATAAAATTCATCTTTTCAAGTTGCCTCTTAGCCCATACAGTTCTGAGGAGCTTGGTATTAATATTTTAAGTGGATTTTGTAAAGTTACTTGATGAAATCTTAGTTAATATGCATAAACTAGATCATCTGCCAGTCACTGTACCGCTTATTCATTTCTTAATATACTACTGACCATAGCCTAATTGTTCCATCATACTTTATTTGCGCTATAAGAAGCGCTTTCTCAGCCTGCCAAAATATATTTCTATGAAGCTGAACCCCATTTCAGTATACATATACACACACACACATCTATATATATCTGTGCATAGTTAACTTTTCTAGGTCTCTCCCTTATTACATAAGTTGGGAGATGGAAAGTAGGGTTATAAGAAGGAGGAGTGATGAAAATATCAGACTTCCCCAAATATCTCCAAGTGATAAAGCCAGTCACCTTCAGTGGCTTCCGACATCCCATCTACCTCAGGAATTATTTTACCTCACCATTAAACCGCTCTCAAAGTATCACGGCAGCTCTGTTACCAAGGACAGACAATTTAGGATGCTGAGTAGCCCAGGTGGTAGAAATCCAGTAAGTTCACATTGAGAGAGATGGGAAAGGAAATCACCACTGAATAGACACACTACCATAGCAGCTACTGAATTTGACCAGTTTGAAATCAGTACCAACTTTTGAAGTTATTTTCCTTCGCCATCATTCAAGAACATAAATTAAAACATGTCGCTCACTTTAAATTTTGCTTACATGAACTATAATAAAGTACTGTTTAGGCAGCAGCCTTTTTCTAAACTTAAAATGGGAGAAACTGTTTAATTTGGAAATTATAAACTATGGAAATTCTGTTCTAGCAAAGCCTTCAATATTAAGTTGCAAAGATGTAGGTGTTCTGCAAAATATAAAATTTAAATTAAGCCCTAATCTTCTAATCACATTTATGCAGAAGTTTCAATCTAAAGTAATTTTAGAAGATTTTCAGTAACACATGAGGACAAAGAAGCTTCAAGTACTAACTTCTTGTCTTGCTCTTTGTTAGTTAGAAAGGGACATGGATGTTCTTGTTTCAAATTATGCTGTGGAGCAGAGGAGAACATAAAATGTTTGATTCCACTTAAATTGCAAATGTTCATCTTGTTATGCTGATAACTCGGTGTGAAAGTCTTGGTAACTAATACTGCAGTCCATTGACTTAAACAACGTACATAGCTTTGAAGAAGAATGAAACTATAGGGCAGGAAGAAGGACTGCACTTTCACATAATGTGAGACAAAGCCACCACCTGACAGATGCCAGTGTCCTAAATAAACTACAACACTAAGAGAAAGATTTCATTAAAATCACAGAAGGCTAGGGGTTGGAAGGGACCTCTGGAGATCATCCAGTCCAACCCCTGCCAGAGCAGGATCACCCAGACCAGGTCACACAGGAACGCATCCAGGCGGGTTTTGAATGTCTGCAGAGAAGGAGACTCCACAGCCTGTTCAGGGCTCTGTCATCCTCATGGCAAAACATTTTTCCTTACGCATCAAACAATACACCTTCACCCCTGCAACTGACAATAATATGATACATAGTCTACATTAGAAGGACATCATTTCCCTAGTTTCTTTGGCCAGAACCAACAGATCAGTTTACCTAACTTTGATTATAGGCTCATGTTTTCAGTTGCAATTTTTCAATACTGTGTAACATGTGTTTAAGAATCCAACAGTTAAAAAATAAATTTGTAAGGCAAGAGAAAAATCCGTTGGAAATTTATAGTACAGTTTTAAGAAAAAAAGTTTATTTATAAAATGAATTTTGTCAGGAACAATCCTAAAGGCAAAGAGTCTCAGGGGTCATTCTTAAGCTCACCTAGATCTCAAATTATTGCTGTATCCACCCTCCTAAAGTTTTTCAGAGATACATATCCATCTTATGTGTACTGGACTGGTGTGGGGGGTTTTTTGTTTGGTCTGGCTTATTTTTTGCTTGTTTGTTTTTTCACTCTGTGCTCAGCTGACTTTAAAGATTACAAAGAAATTATATACAAATATATTAGTCCAATAAATTAGTACAATTAAATTTGTCTTAAGCATAGATGTCTGAAACTAAATTTTAGGCTAAGTTCATGTGGTTTTGTGAATTTTCAATTCCTTAAATCAGTTAGTACTTTAAAATTAGGTTTTTAATTAAAGCAATTTTATATGGCTGTACAAAACTATGGCTTCCAGTACGACACTTATTTTGAAGCGATAGAGGCTACAGGGTTCAATGAAAGGTGACCACATGGTGAGGTGACTGAGGATGCTGAGCTGTCTGAAAGCGCTTCTGGTTCTTTCCCCTCCTCCTCCGATGTGCATGGCTCTCATCACCTGATTTAGCTCTAGAATGGCTCACTAGGGAATGAGGTAAGAATTAGCACCAACACATCGGAGAAAGTAGAAATACACGAGCAGGGAAAGGAATGGAGGGGCTTGCACCACATCACTATTGATTTTTTAGTGACACACGAAAACTACCAGCTGCCAAAGCAGGCATTAGAAAGTAGAATCTAAATAAAAGCATCTTCTGTAAAACTTTATACTGTGAATGAGAATTGTGCCCATTATTGCTGACTAACACAATGACGAAGAAGAACTTTAAACCAAACATTCGTAACGTTTACAATATACACGATAATGGACGCTTTATAAGTAGTTTAAGAAAATCCACAATTAGTTAAATACTGTATTACAGAAAATCAGCAATCCAAAGAAGAAAAGACCGACGTTCTTCATCTCTATCATACTATTATCTCTTACATCTTCTCTAGTTTTTATGTTTGATGCACATTTTACGATGTACAGATCCATCTTTTACTTTTGAGGTTATTTGATCAAAAGCAATTTTCTGAAGAAAAATCAGAGGTTGCAAAAAATAGTAGCACATTATACAAATCAGCTGCAGCAGTTAACATTAAATAAAAATAAATATTTATTTTTTTTACCAAACCCACCTAGACTACTGGCTAAAACTGTAGAATAATTTATTTAAATAGAAATCTTGCATCCATCTCTGTTCAGAAAGCCCAAGAAGACAAAAAATCTTCCCAAAAAACCAGTCCTAAGCACAAATCTCAAGCAATTCTAAAGAATCTGTTTCACTATCCATTGCCTTTTTAAACTGTCCTTACCTGCAATAACGGGAAAGACAATGTTTTCTGAAGCTTTTGCAAAGGCACTACGTGAAACCAACAAATTGATGCAGCAGCTTTTCCAGTTTTGAAAGAAAATAAATTATTCTTTATCCTTATGTGATTCTCACCTTGGAAGCACCTGTTGAAATGTAAACCTTTGGCAGAACTCTACTACCTTGAAGACCACACAAAAAAACCCCAGCAGTTGCTCATGGAGGAGCTCAATCTCACTAACAACGAGCTTACCTTGGACCTACAGTAACTCTTCTCATCTTCATGCTTGGTTTCAATCTCAATTTAAATAATCCTTCAATTTTAATCTCTAATCTTGAATTTAAATTCCTCTACAAAGGAGGATGACAGAAATTAAAAAGTAATGTCATTAGCACATTTGCTGTAGCACAATTAGGTATTCCTAAGTGACAAAACATGCACTGGTGACAATGAACCCATCAGACCAGCCAAAGTAAGCTGCACTAGCTTCAGATTTAAAAAAAAAAATACGTGGAACGTGTTTTAATAATGTGTTTTAATAATGTAGTTTAGCCTACACCTACCTAGGAAATCTATTTCTGGAGATCCTCTATAGTCTTCTCTTGGCTTCCACAATTCACTCGTCTACCTTGCTATTACTGTACAGACTTTAAACAATCTCAGTTCCAATTGCCAGAAATCTCAAGGTTATCCTTACTTGCAATTTCAATGTGCTTTGCACTAGATGTTGCTAAACATACTCTAGACTCCAGATGTCCTTTGCTAGCACTGCTCAATTAAACCATGTTTGACATACAAAAAGCCCCTCAGCTCTTACCTAGCATGTTCTCAACACACGATTCTGGCTCGACTGTGATACTACAGAACT